CCCCTTCCAGCTCTGAGATTCTGAGACCCAGACCTGGGAGAAGGAAGGGGGCACTCCAAGGCACTGGGCTGGGTTGGAGGTGGTTTGCAGCCATGGAAGGTTGAACTCAGAGTTCAGCCTTGCCCTGGCATCTTCAGAGACAGGACCTAGAGGCCTTGTCCCTATCCTCCTGGGCCCTGTGGCAGGCCTGAAGCCCAGTTCTATTTTTGCCCTCAGGTTACATGAGAGCTGGTGACTGAGCTTGGGCCTGAGTTGTGGGCCGTAGGAAACCTGACCCCATGGGTGCACCCACCCCGCCACCTCTACTCCAGACAGGGTCACAAGTCTAGGAAGGCCCCAGCCTCAAGCCTCACAACACGCCTGCTGAGGCCCAGTGCTCCTCACCCAGAAGGAGCCCTGGCCTGCAGTATGGGCTATGGCAGGCCAGGCCTCAGGCACACGGGCACAAGAGTGGCAGGTGCCTGGCATCAGGCCACTTTGGCCTATGCCAGTGCCCTCCATCTCTCCTGTGTCAACTGCCCGGCCCCAGAGGTGGGTTGGATGCTTGCTCTAGACTACCACAGCACCCTCTGTTTCCTGAATTAGGACCGAATGCCCTGTTTTATATCCACTTGGTTACCTGCCTGCCTCCCATCAGACAGGAGCTCTGAAAGGCCATGGACTGGCTTAGGACATCTTCATGTCCTCAGCACCGGGCCTGTGGCCTAGCACAGGACAGGTACTCCTTAATGGTGAATATATTAATGGCTCCGACAGCAGAATTGGTAGGCTGATTAGGCTTTATGGCTCAGGATGCTAAGGAGGGAGCTTAGGAAGCTAGAGGCCCCACTAACAGAGATAGGCGTCTGGCAGAGATGGGAGAAACAGATTGGAGCAGGGGGGTGACATGAGTTTTGGACAAGATGAGGTTTCAGGAAAGGCTCCAGGGCCAGATTCAGACTACAGTGTAAATGGCTGACACCAGCTCCTATCTTGAGAGCAGACTTCATGGGAGCAAAAGATGAGAGTTCAGGAAGAGGAGCCCCCAGGCATCCAGCAGCCTCATTCCTATCTGAGCCAGTTGCAGACCCAGGGGAATACATGGGGAGAGGAGTGATGCCAACTTCCCACTCACAGAAAGGCTGGGAAGTGGGGAGCCAGCTTGTAGAGCTTATTCTCAGCTGCACTCACCTACATTAGAGAGTAGCCTGACCTGATCCCTGTCCTCTGAGCTCTCAGGCTGGTGGAGAGACACTCAGAAACAGAGATCACAATGACAGGAGAGAAGCTCTAGAGCCAAGGTATGGTGGGAACAGTTATTTCTAGAGGAAAGCAGAGAAGGCTGCCTAGGGGAGGAGGCATGCAGTGATGACAGTAACGATAATGTAATAATAGTAGCAAACACTGTCCCTCACTATGTGCCCATGCTGGCCCGTTCTTTATACACAGAGCAGGAAAGGGCATTCTGGGAGCAGGAAACAGGCTGTGCCAGGGCACAGGATGTCAGCCAACAGGAGCAGAGTGTGGGGGATTGAGACAGCTGCCATGGCGAGCAGTTACCGCTGCGCATCAGGCCCTGTGCTCAGTACATTACACAGCCTTGTGTATGTTTGGGGCGGGAGGTGTTGTCACCCTCCCCATGCTACACTCAAGAAAGCTTAGAGAGGCTGACTTGCCTGATATGGCACAGCTAGTGAAAGAGGTAAGGATGGGTAAACCAGTAGCCAGCAGAACAAGATCCAGGGAACATGTTTGTCTACATGTGGCAGAAGCTTGGGCATGTTCAGATGCTGAAACAAAAATGCCTTTGAAGGAGAAGTTGAAAAGGAAGTTTGGGGAGTGCTGACAGAGGAGGGGTCACTGAAGAGGCAGGATGACAAGCTGGCATTTTGGAGGCCCTCGGTGGGATGAGTCACCTCTGGCGGAGGATCATCACACTTTCCCTGGGCTGCAAGGAAGGGAGGCAGAAGGCTGGGTGGGTGGGATGCAGAACAGGCACAGGGGCTGGGTGAGGAGGTTCAGACCTTCCTGGGTGAAGTTCATCTGAAATTCTAAACACCTTCTAGTGATTGGACCTTTGATATGAGGCCACAGACCGCTTATAACAGTACTATATTTGGAGGGAACGAGCAGGAGGCATTCCAATTATCTATTCATTTCTAGAAATGCTCTAGCCGGAGGGACTGTTGCCTAGAGAACAAAGCCAAAAAACATCAGAATGAAATCGAGAGAGAAGTTAAGATTTCCTATTCTAAGCATAGCCTATGAGTAAGCTCCTCTGTGGCTTTTTGGAAAGTGTGTGTCAGAAAATGCAGTCTTTAGATCGATTACTCATTTCTCTCCACTAAAATTTGGACAAGGCCCCAAACCGTCATTGCCCTTGTGCAAATACTACTATTCACCTGAGCTGTGTCTGATTTTGACAATGAGCACCAGCACTTCCTTTGTGAACCGGCTGGGTGGTAACGTGTGTACACATGTGTGCACTGACACACGCATACCCGCACACATGCACACACACATACACAGAGGCATGCATTCACACATATGCAAAGTCGTAGGATCCCCTCTTTCCTTGCAAAGTGAAAAGATTTCCTCTTAGCCCTGAATTCTCCTCTACAAACCCCAATGTTGGTAGCAAAAGATACTGATTAGTGAGTGACAGCCAAGTGCAAAAAATGACTTTTTTATTGTTCCCTTGTCATCCCAATGGTCATAAGTGAATGAAGCAATGAATGGACCCAACGTTTGACTCAAACAACTTATTATTTTAAATCTCTCTCTCTCTCTCTCTTTAATGTAAAGACCAAATAGCTAGGAAGTGGCAGAGCTGGGAACTTCTGCTGGCCTGTCTCTGCTAAGGTGGTGGGAACTGCACTGTGGGGTAGTAGGTCTGATAAGGGCTGAGGCCAAGAAAGGTGGGTCGGGGCCACTTGGTGCAGGGCCTTCAAAGCTAGTTTAGAATCTACAATAGTTTTCCCCAGGGCCTGGGGAGCCCCTGAAGATTTTTTTTTTTAAGCCATATTTTATGTTTATTGATAATTTAGATATCACAAGCAGGTTCTTGTTTCAGCCAATGGAAGGCAGTTTGAAGTGGGGGATAATGAGCCTGTTCATTTTATTTTATCTTTTTACAGTCACTGAGCACTTACCTTATAAGGACTTTATGCACATTATCTATTTTAATCTTTACAAAAAACCCTGTGTATTAGGTTTTATTATTATCCAGCTTTGCATGTGAGGGAACCTAGGCCTCCAGAAGGTAAGTACCAAGTCATAGCTAGTAAGAAATGGATGCAAGTCACATCCCAGGCCCTCTGATTCCAGATTCTCGACTGTCACTTTACGGAGCAGAGGCCACTAACTCTGCCAGAGGAGTTGGGCAGGCTTCCTGGGGGATGGGCCCTGTGGGTCATGCCAGGTTGGCCGAGTGGGGCTTGTCCTCCCACCAGGTGCTGATGGCTGCTGTCCTGGTTACAGGTGCCCTGCTGCAGGAGGAGAGGCTGGATGCAGTGACCCTGCTGTACGCCACCTCCCTGCCCAGCTTCTGCCTGCTGGCAGGTGCGGCCCTGGTGCTGGAGGCTGGTGTGGCACCGCCGCCTGCTCCCACTGACTCCCGCCTCTGGGCCTGCATCCTGCTTAGCTGCCTCCTGTCCGTGCTCTACAACCTGGCCAGCTTCTCCCTGCTGGCCCTCACCTCTGCTCTCACCGTCCACGTCCTGGGAAACCTCACTGTCGTGGGCAACCTCGTCCTGTCCCGGTTCCTGTTTGGCAGTCGCCTCAGCTCCCTCAGCTATTTTGGCATTGCACTCACCCTTTCAGGAATGTTTCTTTACCACAACTGCGAGTTCGTGGCCTCCTGGGCTACCCGCCGGGGCTTCTGGCGGAAGGACCAGACTGACAAGGGTCTTTGAGACCTAGAAGAGCGCATGAGCCACCTGGAACAGCCCCAGCCTGAATCCAACCTTGGCCAGTGGCCATGGGAAAAGTGGAGAGCAGGTGGCTACTGGAACCATGGGAGAGACAGGTGTCTTCGGGAAAGGCCACCTTGAAGGCTGAAATGGGGCCTCCCAGAGAGACCCACCTGTCCCTGCCTGTCTCTCCTCATCACAGACCCCACTCACCACTGGATGGTGGGTCCGAGCCTGGCACGCTCACTGTGCTTGTCAGAGTAATTATTATTAATGTCAACCACTATGCTGAAAATTGCTGGCCAAATTTTGAGAACCTCACCGTGTTCTGATGACAATGATGATTCTTGGCAGTTGCACAATCCTTCCTCCACGAAGTGGGGGAGGCAGCTAGAGGGCCCAGAGAGGGGCTTCTTTGTTGCTGGGCTCCCCCAGGGAGGTGGGTTCCTCTGTGCCAACTCCTGGCAGCTGCTGTGGCCTCACTCCTGGGCCCCCCCAATTTTGGATCTTCCGTCCTCAAATAAACTATTTTTGCTTGTACACCTGTGTCATTCCTCGGGGTTTTAGCCAAGGAAATAGAGGGAGAACAATGGACCCACTGGCCGCTAACCACCCACAGAAGAACAAGAACATCCTCATCCACTGTGTCCTGTCCAGGCCCCCAACCTAGTCCTATTCTCTAAAGTCCCTCCACTGGCCAGGCTGTCATCGCCCATCTTCTGGATAGTGGTGGTGGCTTCCTCCCTGCTCTGCTCTGGGCCATCCACTCCATCTTCCACACAGCCCCAGAGGGCGCTTTCTAAAATACACGCCTTCTGAAATACACTGCTCTTGGGACAAAGTCAGAACTTTCCGCTTTGAAGTGGGGGATAATGAGCCTGTTCATTTTATTTTATCTTTTTACAGTCACTGAGCACTTACCTTATAAGGACTTTATGTACATTATATATTTTAATCTTTAGATTAATCTTTAGATTAATCTTTAATCTAAAGATTAAAATGGATAATGTGCTCCAGATCACAAGGCCCTTGGGATCTGGCCCCTGTGGCCTCACCAGTCTCCTGCAGTCTCACTTCTTCTCTCCTTGGGCTCCACCTTCCAGCCTCACCAACTTCCTTCGGGTCCCCTATGATGCCAGGCCCGCTCACAGGACATGCTGTTGCCTCTGTCTGGTATTGTCCCTCCCTTTCGTGACTAAATCCTTGCTTGGAGGAGAAAACTCTAATATGCAACTCTCCTTTAAAAGAAAAACCAAAAAAAGGAAGCCTGATGAAAAAAGGGTCTTGACAAGAGGCTGTGGCCAGGGCTGTGGGTGCAGAGGGCAAGGAATTGGGGTGGCTTCATGGAATAGGAGGCACTCGGTCGGGGGGCCTGGCAAGCTGACTCAGGGGCCTTGCAGGAGAGTGGGGCTGCCATGTGGAGAACCTTGGACAGCAGTCTCAACCCTTAGAGCTAGCCCAGAGCCTCCCTGACTGGCTGGCCAAACAGCTTCATCACTTCTCTCTCATCCTTTCCTTGGCTCTGTGCGCTTAACTCCACCCCTCACCGCCACCGCCCCCGCCTCTGCTGGAGGCTGCCTGTTAAATACCATAAGGACCCCACCGGGATTAGGAGAATTAGAACCTAATCCTGCTCTGACCATCTCACTGCGTGCCTTAGGTAGGTAGCCTCCCTTCTCTGAGCCTCAGTTTCCATATCTGCAAAATGCGGCTGATGATCCCCATGGAGAGGGTTCAGTGAGGAGCCTGGTGGGCAGGGCCAGGGAAGAAGAAGAGTGATGGTGTCAGCTGGCTTGGTCCCCATCTTGGGCTATCATCCTATTATCCACTCTCTCTGAGGCTGCAAGCCCATCTGGAAAGTGGGGATGGTCTCCCCTTTCTGTGTGAGGATAAGAGCCAGACCAGGCTGAAGGTGGGGTCTAGAAGGCCTGGGACTTAGGAATCATTCATTCCTTCTCAGCCTAAATTCATGGAGGACCACTGTGCCATCCAGTGCTAGACAGGGCTGCATGAGGGGTGAGCCCAATGCTAGGGGTAAAGGCAGGAAGGGCCTGGGAATCACCTGCCCCAGAGAGGACAGGCAAGGTTTCCTGGTCCTGGCCTCCACCCAGGAGGGGAAGTGGGACCAGGCTGAGTCACCACCCACCGTCCCTGTGACTCAGAGATGACGCTGGCTCAGCCCCATCCCTATACAGCCTAGGGACCTCTAGACTCTGAGGCTTGGCCAGACAGGACAGAGGATAGGTGGCTTTGGGTGGATAGAGCCTTCTTTATACTCAGGACCCTTTCTCATTCAAAGGAGTCTACTGCCAGAGCTGGAGCCTCCCCTTAGCACCCTCACCCTGGCTCCTGGGTCACATGGAATGCTTGGCTTAAGAGTGAACCACCCCCTATGGCCATACCACTCTGAACAAGCCCGATGCCATCTGATCTCGGAAGCTAAGCAGGGTCGAGCCTGGTTAGTACTTGGATGGGAGACCACCTAGGAAGACCAGGTACTGTAGGCGTAAAAAATAAAAAATAAGGGATTGTAAACTGACAAGGTTCTTGCAATCTGTGAGGTCAACAAGGGTTGCCTCACCTTAAAAAAAAAAAAAAAAAAGAGTGAACTTCCCATCAGATGAGAGCCGGCCCCTGGTGGTTGTGGAGGTATGGCATCAGGGGAATTGGAACTGTGCTTGGCCTGGGGGCTGGCTTGTCACCAGACTTAGGATTGTCTAGCACTTCTCCCAGCAGTGGGCACAGAGAGCACTAGACTGGGAGTCAGAAAGCCTGGGTTAGTGTCCTGGCCCCCTTCCTCTCTGTGTGACCTGTCTGGTCTCTTCTGACTTCACAGTGTGGTTGTGGAGGTATGGCATCAGGGAAATTGGAACTGTGCTTGGCCTGAGGGCTGGCTTGTCACCAGACTTAGGATTGTCTAGCACTTCTCCCAGCAGTGGGCACAGAGAGCACTAGACTGGGAGTCAGAAAGCCTGGGTTAGTGTCCTGGCCCCCTTCCTCTCTGTGTGACCTGTCTGGTCTCTTCTGACTTCACAGTGTCGTTGGGAGTAAGGATCACCAGGATAACTAGAGAGAAGGGTTTAGCACGTGATTCCCATTGACAGGCCACTGTCCTGCTAGGCTGTCTCTAGTCCTGGTGCCTCAGGCAAGTCACTTCACCTCTCTGAGCCTCAGTTTCTGTACTCATTCCCTTCTGGGAAGCCTTCTCCTCAGGATAACAGATTTTTACCTTCCTTGGGAAGCTCTTCCCTGCTCTTACCCCTGCCCGGCCCCACAGCAAGCTGAGTTAAATGTCACCCCAGCTCCCTGCACTTCTCCAGGCAGGACCCTATGCACATCCCACTCTCGGAACTGGTTTATAACCTCACCTCCACTGGACTGGGCTCTGGGAGTGCTGGGACAACTGTTCTGCTCATCGCTGTCACCACAGCATTGGCACGGTGCCTGGCACAGATGGAGTAGGTGGAAGATAACACTAGTCAAGAGCAGGGGCCAGACCTGGGGTTAAATTCAAGCTCTGGCTTATCTAAGCTGTGTGGCCCTGGGCTTCTGTGTGTGAGGTGGGGGCAGCAGTAGAACCTAAGCCCTGTCTTGCTCCAGGAGGCTGCAAGTGCTTAGCAACAGTGCCTGGAACCTAATAGGTCTTGAAGAAATGGTAGCAGACTGACTCACTGCAGATACCTCCCAGTTCCTTCACCTCCAGCCTTCTACTGCACACTAAGAGCCCCCAGGACATGCTGTTTCCTGAGCAGAGCAGGATGGATGCCCCAGCTCCCACCCCCTTGCCCTCTGCCTTGGAGGAAGCCAGGGAAGCTGAGCCTATGCTGGGCATCCTGCCACTGCAGACTCAGAACAAAGCTGCTGCTTTGTCTTAGCCCCGGCTGCCAGGGGCCCCTACTGCCCTCCCCAGGGGGCCCTTGGATTGTCATTCCAGAGGCCAGGGCAAACAAGGACTCTTGCTTCCTACTCTGCTTGCTCCCAAATCAGCCAGAAACTCATACTGTTCCTGCCTGGTTGCAAATATTTCCTGGAAATAACACAAAATACAATAGAGAGCCATGATAGGTTTTGAGCAGGCAATAAATTTCAAAAGTTCAATAAATTTCTTGATACTGGACCTTCAGTTTGGTCTAGGTCCTATGTGAAGGAGGCTTGAGACAGGAAGCAGGGAGACTAGGGAAGAGATATTGTTGTAGTCCAGGTGTGCAGATGACAGTAGAGAGAGTGTCTTGGGCACAGTATAGTGTTGCATCAGTTGTATTGATTTGGGGTAGCAAATTATTCCCAAACATTATGGCTTAAAACAACAAATATGGATTATCTCACAGTTTCTGTGGAACAAGGATTTGGGACTGGCTTAATGGAATAGTTTTGGCTCAGGGTCTGTCACAAGGTTAAAGTCAAGATGTCAGTCATACGAAGGCTTGACTGGGGCTGGAGGGTCCACTTTCAAGACGAGTCATTCACATGGCTGTTGGCAGGAGGCCTCAGTTCCTTGCCATGTGGGCCTTTCCACAGGGCTCCTTATGACATGGTGGTTGGCTTTCACCAGAGTGAATGATTCAAGAGAGCAATAAACCACAATATCTTTTTTGATCCAATTTCAAAGTCACACTCACTTCTCTAATAGTCATTTATTGTTTAATTCTAATATCATCATTTCCCTAATATCTTATTGGTACACAGGTCAATCCTATTCGATGTGGGCCCTCCCACCCTGACTATACGAGGGCATGAATACCAGGCAGTATTAGAAAATACCAGATGGTCGTTGAGGTCATCTCTGAGGCTGGTTACCACATTAGTAAATGTTTGTTGAGTGAGTGATTGAGGACACAGCTTGGGGCCATGGGGAATTAGCTTGGGAGCTTCCTGCTCCATGGTAGGATCTTGTCAGTCACACCTCTGAATCCTCCCTGACACAGTGCTATACAATCTTGGTCCACAGCAAATCCTTGGCAAATGTTTGCTCCACGAGGGCTGGATGCGTCTTTCTCTGCTCCCCACTGCAGATAGAAGAATACCTGAGCTTTTGGTCTGGTATCTGAAGCCCTGGATGCTCTGACGTTTTCAAGTCCACTCTCTGTAGCCCCTCCAGCTATATGAGGTCACTCCTGCTCTCTGTGCCTGGTGGAGCCTTACCATATCTAGGCCTCCTTCTGCATTTTCCCTCCTTTTCTAAGCATTGCCAACATCCCAGCTGGGCAGATACTGGCCCCGCAGTACCTGCTACCTGCGCTAGGCATTTCTCTTTGTGTGTTTAAACGTTCTTTGGTGGAGGAACCTTTGTCCATGTATCTTATGCTGGAGCCCAATATAAAAAAGCCAAAGCAGTGTTGCCTTAGATAAACCAGGAACCTCCTCACCCTTGAGGTACCTCTGCCAAATTTTCCAGTAACCCTATTTGAAAATCAAAGATCTAGTTCAATCCTTATCATAGATGTGAGAAAACTGAAGCTTAAAGAGGAGGAAGAACCAAGAGGGCTGTCTTAGTCTGTTCACACTGTAGTAACAAAATGCCACAGACTGGGTGGTTTATA